TAGATACACTAGTGCAATAAACTAACAGTAAATACTACATACAGGCGCTAGACAAAACCATTTGCTTATTCATAACAGGTTTCTTAAAAGAATGATTCATCGTCCTACGCACATAGTCATATTTTTTCTTTTCATGATCAAAATAATAATCATCGTGACAGTAATAATAGAAGGATAAAACTACCTGTTTGATATTAAGAAATATGTGTACAAGGAAAAATATTTCACAACATGTTTAATACACGTTCGACGGGTGCTGGTTTAATTATATTTTCACGAAATGGTAAACAAGTAGTTCTTGTTGAATCCAATTATGCTGATTACAATTTAGGATTTCCAAAAGGTTTTATTGATAAATATGAAACACCAAAACAAGCGGCTATACGTGAAGCAAACGAAGAAACTGGTTTAAAAATACAAGAATTAACATTTGTACCATTGCAACAACCATTAGTTGAATATGATCCTCAAGGTAATAATGAATATTACGTGGCTGGTGTTATTGACAATAATATTAATCAAATTCAATTTCGATATAATCCATATGAAATACGATCTACACGATGGTATTCAATCAGTGATGCTTTACAACTACAAAAATTATATCCAAATCGAAAACAATTGTTGTTACACGCACGGCAATTGTATTTAAAATCAAAATATCGAAATAAACTCTTGCATGGACATCAATTTATTCACAGTTAATAACATTTATTTTCCGTCCACGCGTCAATGGGCTTATGGAAATGTAGCGTCAGGTGTCTAGTTTCGAAAACTGAAAACTGCAGGTGTTTATCATTTTTCTATCAGAAGTTATTTCAATAAACAAGAGAGGCCACTGTTCACGTGGATGGACAGTAATTAAAAATTTTTATTCAAAACAAATATTAAAAGAAAAGGGAGCCGTTATACTGGTGTAATCAAAGGTGATAATCTGTTTGAAAGCTTTCTATAGTCCAAACGATGGTAATATTTGCCCCTTTCTTCCGATTGAACCAATAAAAAACAGCATATCGGAAGCCTAAAAGATGTATCTTATTTTCCTTTGCGAAGGGTATTTTAAACAGTTATAGTACTTGTTCCCACCACATTTCCAAGGCAAAAATTGCCACTCCACTCCAGATCCTTCAAAATCTAAATCGTTTTGGCCTTCTGACATGAACTTCGGTCATATAGGGTGGACCAGAAGTCCAGAAGCACTTTTCTATTAAATTTTAATCCATAATGAATTGCATTTAAAAATTTAATCAGCTCAAACGATAGAGAATTTAAGTTTCTAGCAAACTGTCGGTTTTGCGTCGAAATTAATTTTGATTCGCCGGTGTAGAAATAAAAATACTAAAATGATGAAAGTCCTACATTTTCATCTATGGCATAAAAGGAGAAAACATTCTTTCCTAAATGCATCAGGACTGTTTTGGATCCAGAATCAGAATTATGTAATGATGAATACGCATGGAACTCATGGACATTACTTGTCGTTTCATGTTCCTTATTAACAGCTAATGATCATTCTGTCAATTCATAAACACTATTTCTTTTTAATAGATTGTTTTTTGTTGTTCTAAATGCAATAAGTATTGTTCTTTCAACATCATTCATTGTTAAATTAGAAAAATTCTTATTATTTGTCAAATTAAATAGTTTTTTGTATAATTAACAGGAAGATGAACAGCATCAGATTTAATTTTACTTAAAACAGATAATTTAACACCACAATTTAAGAACCACAATCTTGAACTGTAAAATCGACCATTGTTGAACACATATCACTCGTTGCTCTTGAATTACGGAATGTTGTTTCATATCCTTGTGAACTGAACAAGTGTATATTATTTAATGTATAGTCTGGTATTTTATGGTCTAACACTAATAAAAGAATAAACAATAAAGACAGAATATAAGGTGATGAATTATTTGAATCTGTTATTATTGATTGAAATACATGTAAATTTAATAATGATGCTTTTTCAGTGGTTTTGAACAAAATTTTCAACTTATCAAACGAATTTGTTTGGTAATAAGTAACAGATGGTATAGCAGAAACTAATAGTGTAATAAATCTAGCGAATACATTGGAGTTTTTGTCGTATTGTACTTTTTGTAACATAAATCCATATTTACATCCATTGTATATAAATATTCTTTTAATTTATCTAAACGAAATTTACCTTCAACTAGATCTTCACTTGAGTTTTTGATTAAATATTTTATTCTTGCTACAGTTGGCAATCCATCACAGATATTCATTGTGATAAATTTGTAAGCATTGTTACCAGCAAGAATACGTAAAGCGACGGAAAAATCTTGAACTAATTTATCACAACAATATTTATTTTTTAAGTGTAATTATTTGATACACAATTAATTAAAGGATGGGGGACGATAAAATCGATCCACACTCAAATCAATCGTACGTTAACTCATCTGCTACAGTTTTCGTCCACGGTCAATGCTAACATATTTTCAAATCTTAAAAATCCTTCTCTGCGTCCCTGAAGACTTTTTAGCAGAAAAAACTCTCCTCGCGTTAAACGACGTTGACTCCACGTACTTACGTCATTCAACCTGCTTCACCTAGAGCAAATGTCCACTGTTATACACCGTTCGACAGAGAATTTCACGAGGTCCAAAATGATATATGAGATAGTCTTAAGAAAATGTAACTGGGTAGTCTAGCTTCAACATGTGCTCAGGTCAAATGTTACAGGCGTTAAAGAACTTGTCGATTTGGGAAATTCGAGAAATGTTTCATTGGTTCAAATTTCCGCGACGACAAATTCGAGATCTCTGTAAAAATATTTTCTGAAATTTCCTTAGTGATATCTGTTTAATTTGTTATGATTAAAATTAGCTAAGATTAGAAAACGAACGATAGAAGAAACTATCTGGCCGTAATAGGTTCAAAAAATAGAGTAAAAGGTGGGCTTAAATCGTAAAAAGACGATCGCTATCGTACGAACTTCGATTCTTGAGAACTTTCTCCAAATCGCTAAAAGTTTACGAGAATTTCAATGTTTTTATCCACACCATATAAACTAAACTCTCTATTCGAGAAAAACATATCTTTGACAAATGCATAATAAATACTTTGACATGCTTTTAGACAGAAAATTCAGCAGAAAATCTTTTTTATAATCCTTTTATAAACCTCAGAGATCTCACCGTAATAACAGCTGTTTTTGATTGTACAGATTTACAGCAACCTAAGGACGGGATACCCCGTGAAATGGGTGGACGGGATACCCCGGGGTGCAATAAAAACGAGGATCGGCCCTATTTCAGATCTTCTCGAAAGGTATCTAGAATGAAAGAGCATACAATTTATGGGGTTCT